AAGCCACTTATTCTGAGGAATTAGCCCATATTTAGTCACAAAACGTAGGAAGTTCTTTTTTTTTGTTGCACATTGTGATATAACAAAAATACATTTACAGCTAACTTTCCACCAAATTTATTTGAAACTATAAAGTCCAACCTTGGTATTGGTACACATACCACAATGAGTAATTACCACATTGAATTGAGATGGCAGTAATGTTGCATAAAAATCGCATTAAGTAAAAGAATGTTATTTCGCTTTTTAATCCCATCATATTGCTGACAAACTCATTGAATTCAGCATATCTTTCATCATCAGTTTCCAATACTTACGAGATATCGAAAATAGGAAACCACTATGAAAAATAACTGCAAGTGGACTAAAGATGCACCAACTTGAACGTGCTAGGAGATACCGAGACGCAAGAAGCATCATCATAAGGAATGGATCCCTATCAAAAACCCGAATAGCATTCAAGGAAGGGAGAACTAGAAGGCAGCAATTAACAACGGCCGAACAAGAACAGAGAAAGTCAATGCACAGACCGAATACACAGAAGCAAACAAGCAAGCGAAGAGGAGTATTGGGGCTAACAAGCAGAAATACGCGTCAGACTTAGCTACAAGAGGAGTTATGAAGTAACTACATGGCACAATGAAGAAACCAGGTAGACCAGTCTAGGATATCAGAGAAAGGTTATCTAAGTAAATGTGCGTACTAAGGAGGAATCACACGACCATCTGTAACAGTAAAGGTTTTCAACAGGGTGTTGATGAACTGGATGAACGGCTCAGTAAACGCCCAAATTCGAGATCAACAGGCTAGATTCTGTGAGGAACGGTCGTGCACAGACCGAATCGAAGCACTACGGATCATCACTGAACAATCAATTCAAGGAAATTCGTCCCTGTTGTAGTGACCGGTACTATTTCAAGCCTTTATAGGTTATTCTAGCCTATAGACAGACCAATTTATTTATTGTTTTCAAGACGCATTCTAACCCTGCTGATTATTCGATTATCAAACCTGACTGTTCCTATATGATCGTATCTGTGTGGGTTGTGTACCTCGTTCATCATGTTTCTGTAATTTACTTTTTAGTCTGAGCACAAATGTTTGGTAACGCCTGATTAGATTGAGCTGACTCAGTCTCCTTCTCCACTCCGCTTCATTTGGTTTCGCTTCGCCCTCTCCTGTTTGCCTCCTTATCTGTGTTTCCCTGATTGTCCGTCCGGATCAACGACAACATGGAATACCTTCACCATGTATATATGGTTCATACATATTGATATTTCATTAACCTTTGCACTTAATTGAGACTTTCATACCATCACTCCAAACTACGCCTGCGCAAACACTTATTCCAACGTCATATCTTACTGCAATAAAAAGTTGTTTTTCTCATTTAGTTTTCATTTTATTTTCGTTACTAACTTGGCTATACATACATAGTCGTTTATTCTTGTTTTGGGTTCATAAACACTCTTATTAAACTATTTGCGTACTTCGTGTCACCTTTATTTCTGTTCCCTTATTTTCTTCTTTTCCTTCTTTAGACTCAATTCAATATTCTACTCAATTACACAGAACCTGATTTATTAATATTATTCTATTATCATTATTATCTTTTTTCCTCTTATTCAAATGTCGCAAATATAATGCTGATATTATTGAAACTTGTGCATTATTGCGTTTTTTTAAAAATCCAAGTGGTTTCTTCGTAACACTTATGTACCCAAAAGATGGTTGTGAATAATGATAATAGTAATACATATCCAAAACGCATTCCCGTGTTTTAGTTATGTTGATCCATTCCTCACTAAAGTGGATTAAGTCGGAAATTAGACGCAAGAGTTGGCAACACATAAATGTCGATAACGGTAAACATACGAGTTAACTCAAGTCAAACGTAGGGCCACTAAACTATGCATCAGCTTCCGTGACTGTCAGAAAGCGTTTGACAGAGTGGACAGAACTTTATGGAACTTTCTTCGACAGTGTTGTGAGCAGCTGAGAAGATCGTCAACATCATCCCCGATTCACACGACGAACTGAACTCCAAAGTCGTGCATTGGGGGCAGTTTATAGATGCATTCCAAATGAAAACCGGAGTCAGACAGAAGTGCTCACTCTCACTATTTCTCTCTTCTAGTGGTTGACTGAATTACGGAATACAATGAGCAGATTGGATGCAACTAGATGATTTGGACTCTGCAGATGACATAGGTTTTCTATTTCATGCACACCAGCAAATGACGGTCAAAACAACCAGTGTAGCGGAAGACGTTGTATCAGTAGGCCTCAACATACATAAGAGAAAAACCAAGATCATCAGAAACGACACGGAGAACACCAACCACACTACACTTCTTGGGGAACCTATGGAAGAGATGGAAACCTCCGTTTGCCTGGGCAGAAGCATCATCGATAAACATGAAGGATTGGACGAAGAAATAAAGGCAAGGATTGACAAATCAAAGACAACATTCTTACAGTTGAAGAACATATGGAACTCAAAACAACTGTCTGCAAGCCTATGCTCCTCCACGAGGGGTAACAGACGTATGTTTCGAGAAGTAATCTATGACTTAAGGTAGACACGAGCTGTCAAGAATGTATGACAACGATCCTACGATTAATTTCGATTGTGGTTAACTTTTGTGAAAACCTTTTAATAACTTGTTTAACAGGCAATATTATTTAAACAGTAACGATTTGTCTGTTTCTTTGTACGGTTATGATCACAACATGACTGTATAGACGTGTGCTCTTGATTACATATAACAGCTTACGCACATATCTCTCTAGTTAAAATGTCGATCGATCAAATGTCGCTAGATGAGTCATTCTAAATCCCATGTACATATAAACTCCGATCCTATTATTAGCCTTTACCTCGCCTAGCTGCGTTTCATTCGATTTGACCATAAATTTGTCTCTGCATTTTCTCGCACACACATATTCGCTTCAAATCCCCTCGATGTGCTTATAGCTTTGTTATCCGTGCTATCCGCAAATGAACTGTAGTCGCCGCTTCTCATTGCCATCTGATTTTAAACACCACTGGGATTTATATAACAACGGTCATCAGGGTAATTGATTAACAAACCTAAACCACTACATTTGTCACTCACGAAAAATTCGCTAACCGTATGTGCATCACTTTGGACTGGACATTAAACTTTCGTAGAATTGTTCGCATTCACATTTAATCACACCTTTCGCACAATGAGTTTTTACAGTTATCATTCTGGGGATTTCAGGTCATACTAGCTGATGCACTTAAAATCCCATTAACTGATAATTATGTGGGAAGGCATAAAGAATATGTTTCTACTCACAGAATGCATTTTGAAGGACAAAATGAACGAGAAAAGAGCACAATATAAGCTTCTTTCATCACCTGCTTAAGCTTAGTCCAAAAACAAATCTAAGGGGTAACACCCAGAAATCAGGGATATAACATAGCAGAATGAACTGTAGACACAACTACTACTTAAGAGTTGCCGAATGCTAAAATTCGCTGACGACTGAACTAGTCCAAGCGATTTCCTAGGAGTCCTTAAAGAGGAAACCTGACCTATTCTTAAGGACTGAGGATAACACCTTATTATGAGTTACCAATATCTTTCTTTTCTAATCTCTTATGATTACTATACCTAGGTTCCTGCCTAGAGGTATTGGTGATCCACTGCTACTAGACACGGAAGCCTGTTAAGCGAAAGCTTCTTCTATTCCGTCCACAACCATCTGCGACATGTTGCAAACTACAGTTACAACTTAGGAAACTCCTCTCTAGTAGTATCCCAAGTCGAAAAAGATTTAGGAGTCCTTGTGCCCCATGATTTAAAGTCTTACGCTAACTGTGACAAAAATGCCTTCCGAGCAAACCTTGCACCGGTAACGTTGAAGAGCATTTTCGGACAGTTTGACGGACGAACTTTCCGTACAATCTTCAATAGTTTCATCCGTCCCCATTTGGAGTACGGAAACATAGTACTCCCCCCCTCACTCCAAAAGGACAAGGTCACTTTGGAGCGTAATCAACGGCGAGCCACGAAATCAGTTCGAGTACTCAAATCTAAACCTTACGAAGAACGCCTCTATTCACTAGACCTTTACCCATTAGAATAGAGGCGTCTTAGAGGTGATTTATTAATGGCTTATAGTATTCTTAACACTTCTGGACATCCTCTTAAACACCTACTTAAGCTTAGTTCGAATAATAACCTAAGGGGTAACAGCCAGAAACTGGAAACACAGCATAGCGAGACGGAATGTAGACACAACTTCTACTCCTTAAGAGTTGTCAAAAGCTGGAATTAGCTGCCGGTTGAGCTAGTCCAAGCGACTTCTCAGGAGTCCTTCAAGAGACAACTTGACCTATTCTTAAGGACCAAGGACAGCATCACACTGATGATGTCACAGGTATTCAGTGTTTGACAACGCTTCTACCAGTAACACCTTCTAATGTATTTCGTTCCCGCCCAGAGAAATCAAAAGACAGAGTCGAGGAGATCGGAAAAGTATATTTGGCGATGACCAATATATCGGAATTCTCTGATCTAATCTGGCTAGCGATTGCGGTTGATGTTGAGCACGGCGTTACCACACGTGATCTGGTGCGGATGCATGACCGAGTGCCTTCAGCTAGATGAGTCCACTAAAACATATGGTCAGCATCCAATGTCGAGAACTTAGGGGTATTTATTTTGGGGATTTATTTACCGCTACAACACTATGATTTACCAATTTCTTTTCCTCTTTTATTGTTAACATACCTAGGTTCCTGCCTGGAGGATTTGGTGATCCCCTGCTACTAGACACGGAAGCCTGTTAAGCGAAAGCTTCTTCTATTCCGTCCACAACCATTTGAACCATTTGAACCATTTGCTTTTCCATTTCCACTTTTCCATCCCTCGAAATCCCTCTTAGATGGCAAGAATCATGGAAGTTTAAATTTGAAAATGCCCAGAATTTCGTTTCACCTGTGGGATGCTGAAAAAACGAGATCAGTTGTTTCACCCTACAATATATTGGGAATACTTATTATTGGAAAATGTACATAGTATGATGATGTGCGTTACTTATGACTGTAATTATCAATTTACGACAACTAGAGGATACTTGACCTCTAAAGGTCGTGACGCTAAAGAACGTATAGTTTTTAAATTCCACAATATATTCTGCGCAATTATAAGTTTATAACTGTTGTGCTTTAACATTACCGTAACATCTACCTACCTCACTATAAAGTTTACAAAATAGGCACCTTCAGAAATCTTCAAGAAAATATTTTCTCAGAATCTGGTAGGTTTTCAGTCTGAACAAAAGGCAGTTTTGACACCGGTAGACAAAGGCAGTAGTGTATGCATCACCTTTAATTAAATAATGGGTCATTCGGGTGATGCTTCGCTAAATTTACCTAACGTGTACAATAAATTCAAAGCATGCGCAAACGGTGATAACGTTCTGCTCCCTGAGTATTGTGAAGCATATACGGAGGTTTCTAAGTAAGCTAGATTTTGTTACATGTTTGCAGACTTCTCGTATACTTTGGAAATCTTTTTTATTTCGTGACCAGTGATGTCAATCACAAAATTTCGGAACTCCGCGACCTGTATGCGGCAGATAAAATTAATTATAAATCTGTCGAGCAAATGGCTGTTTATGAGGAAAAGCAGAATGAACACCTTCCAGTTAAAAAGCGGAAATGCATCGGTTCCCGGACACTTCTCCGACTCCACCGGGCTCTTCTCTTTGTGATCGATTTAATGCAAGAAGTTTGCAGAGGCAAGTTACGGAGTTTTAAATTTATTGGTTCATATTATCGGGATGAGGGAGTTCCTCGTCAGTTCACCTTGGCTAGCTGTAAATAATGTGGGACCTGCCACAAACTTGCGTTAGTTCAGTTCCCATCATCATGTATCACATCGACTAAGTCCAGACCTCACATACGACTTCAGCAAGGAGTCACCAACCCCTAAGATCTATGTTCCTTTTGCCCCGACTATCCTTAGTTTCCTCAAGTCCAATTCTTATTTGTGCATATTTGAGCTGACGATACACTGGTATATGCAGAGTGACCTATCCACCGTAATCGAATTTACAAAGCTGCTGAGATAACCAGGTTTAATGACCTACTATTCATACAAAAGTATTTTCAAGCTTACGGTCATTGTATTACTTAGAGTTATGTCGTTAAGTGCGGAAAACAAACACAACTCGGTCCAAAAATATGTTACTTCACAAAGTAAAGTACATTTAGTCGGTAACTACGATTGTTTAATTTACTCCGACTCTAAAAGTGCCTTGAGTCTGCAACCAGGGTGTTATAGGTTCTATTTGATATATATCATTTTTCCACCTTATAATCTGGCTTAGCACTGCTCTATGGTAGTCAGCGTTAAGACCATAAAGCATATTTTAGCGGAGGTTAACCGTGTTTCTGGCGGAACTATTCGTATTACTTTGTTTTTGTATTTAAGCACTATTGACACTACGTATAGATTCCATAAGTATTATTAACAACGGGTTGTCTGACACAACTATAACCTATGTAGTGTTCAACACCTGTTCAAACCTGCAGGATTATTATTACCTCTAATATTTAAAATTTCATCAAAATCCATCTATAATTATTCACTCATTTGGTTTCTTTCAAGATCTTTTTATCTGATCATTGCCTCAGATTCCACTTTTACAATTCTTCCATGATTTATTATCATGTTTTGTTCAACAAAGTATTAACTCGTTAGTTTTGATTGTGTTAAGTACGAAACATATTAATGCGCTCCAACTTAGAGCAAACACAGATGCTCTTAATGTAACATGCTAAAGGGTAGCATTAATGGTAATTCAGTAAACTATAGTTACATAAAACACTTTTGGTAGCTTTTAATCAATAAAATATGTTGCATACTCAAAAGTCAGAAACATGTACATAATTTCTCCTAAAAGCAGTAATTAACATTAAGTCGATTTTCACCTTTTAGTACAATTCAAAGTGTATTTGTTAAATTTTATAGCGCCACCGGATGAACAATTGAAGGTTATTGCTCGGTCAGTGTACGACAAAACCCTCTCTCAATATCATCCATGGCCTATTAGGAAAGCTGTTGGAGTTGCTGTTTATGCTCTTCCTACGCGGGAACATTTGGTTCATCATATCGTCCAATCTCAACCCCCTGGGAGTGGTTTGCTTACAAATGAACAATGTGCAGAGTTTCTCACTTCACATGCTTTACCTGTAATGCGCAAGGTATATGACTGTATTCAAGCTATTTTCGAGAAACACGATATGCTAAATTTACCATAGTTATCTTGATGTATACTATTTCAGAACTTAATATTGTTGTACTTCAAAAACAATACTCAAAAAGATAAGTCTTAAAGAAATGAAAATTATTTTCGTATGTAGAAGTTATTTTGCTTTCGTTTTATGTTTTATTTCTATATTCTTAATTTACGATACTATGTGGTTTCCAATGACGGCATATTAGTCTTTATAAATTGGTTAATTATAACACTTCCTCACACATTTAGAAATCTCTATCATTTCTGAGATTTTTAAACATTGATTCATATACCTTGCTTACATTTTCAGTAGATTCTAGTTTGTTTTGTACTCAGTTCTCTTCAAAACATCTAAAAATACTTAGAAACAAATGATGTTTTTCACTTAACTGTATTTATTGTATCATAAGTACAACTGTAGCAAAGCAGACAAATGTGTTTGTTGTATTTTTTATTATAATCAGAATGGGGTTTGTGAAGGTTGTAATTTTAGTAGTTGGATTCAGTGGTGGTCTACCTTACACTGACTCATTAGTTCAACCATTTTTTTATTACATTAAGATATGAAAAATCTCTCGGAAAAATGTACTAGGATAAAAGTCGTTCGCAACAAACCTTTACCATGTTCACTATGCCACATTTTTCTGGTAATATAGACTTGACAATACAATGGTATAAGAACAATGTGCAAAATCCCTAATTAAATTAAGAATTGTAAAATACTTAAGGAAATCCCAATGTCCCGATTTGATATTTTATGACACCATGTTGGAAGTGGAAATTCACCACTAAGAAAATACTCAAATGCTAGTCAGTGGGTAAAACACTTAATAGTGATTTTTAAGTCACTCGTTTAATCCAAACTCCATGTAACTGAAGTTACGTAGTTAGTTGCTGAGGCAGGAGTTTTGGGACATAAACGTAAGGAGTAATCTCGTTGAGTCTCGTTTGCAATTACGTTGGTGTTTTTGAATCGCTTAACGAATTACAGTCTATAGAACTATGCATATTTAGAAACTTGTTAAGGTATTCTATGCTTAACGAAGTCATTTATGTATTCTATTCTGTAAGTACTCTACTTATTGATTGATAGTATTTCACCTAATGGTATAAAAGACTTTAACTGCAAAGACCGAAATGCATGTGTTAATCGTATTTTGTATCAGTGTTAATAAAGATTTTTGAAGTAAACATCCTCTGTGACTAGTCTATAGCCTGCCCTTAGTTTTTGTAGAATAATGTTTATGAAGTATTGGAAAAAGATTCTATGAGTAACACAGAACCTGACGTAGTAGTTCTTCAGTTTGAGTGTTATTCTTTCCATCAGTGATTTTACTACCTTTATAACTTCAAGTTTCTGTTAATTTATTACTGGTATATATGGAATTATTAGTTCCTTTATGACCACTTACTCAATTATGTATGGATATAATGTAATGAAATAAAAAGTTACCAGAATCATAATATTCCTTATGATTATTTGTTTCCATTTAATCTATTATTAATTGTCACATGTCTGGTATGTAACTTGTAATCAAAGAGAGATTGACTAGTATCGTTGTATGGTAATTATCAGCTTGTTACATTGTTTATGAAAACGAATTTTATACATATTATATGCTTGTATTGTTTGTGATAGACAACAGTAGCCATTTTAAAAATTAATCAGTATGCTATTAGATTAAATAGTAAGAAACTTAAAATAATTGGGTGTTTAACAAAGGTGTTATACTTTTAAAAATCTAACTGACGAGAGCAATTTAACATATGGTTGAAATCGAAGAATATAAAAGGAGGACAGTTAATAACGGAAAGTCATTAAATTCTTACAAAATAAGATTAATAAGAGATCCATTTACTTCAGGTACATCATCCTAGAAAACCACTTATTCATCCTGTCTTGACATCAGTAGCTGGCAAGTTTGCATTCATTCACATGCCTTTTTTAATAATTTGTTAAGATGAGAGGGACTTCATATACCTCACTGGGCCTAAACGATTTTAACACCGTCTTCAAATACATACGTACATATATGCATTTTCTCTTATAACAACAAATTACTAGCTATGAGTACTTATGATAGTTTAAAACATGTACATGACTGATTAAGACAGTCATCTTTCAACCAAAGGGTCGCAGGTTTGAATTCCACTCCAAGTACTTCAATTTGGCCAACCGGGTAGTATCACTTGCCATCACTCCAATAGCCTGACTCAAACCCAACTACATATACCGTCTATAGTAAGTGAATTGTATTAATTTTAAAAAGTTCAAAACATAATATCAATTAATTTTCTATGTTTGTTTAAGTAAATACGGTTTCTCCTCAAAATACCGCTTCTGCTGTACATATGTAACCCTGACTTTCCGTTTATGCATCCTCTTAAAATCTTGATATTGTTATCTTTTCCAGAATAGTTACCACTTAAATATTTCGTGCTAGACGGTCGATCCTTTGTTATCGCTAATACTTTCAATTCCCAGTTAATACTAGAGAAAGCCTTTTTATTTATTGTTTATCTATTTCCTTATGGGGTCGCACTCGGAGCCTTCGACCTAAAGGTCTGATCTACAAGGCAGTGGAGCAATGCCAGGAGATGCAGTCGCATGGTAGCCGGTGACCAACAATTGGTTCATACGCCATGTAAGTATATTATAAAGCCACGCCTAAGTGCCTAATAATCGAATACTTTTTGACATGTGCCTATATAATCGTCATGAACGCTGTTTTTTTATGTTGGGTAGTTGGAAGCAACTGATAAAGATCTTTGAATGAATTCTTTCTGGTTTTCATTTATTAGCTCTGTTTCACAACAGTTCACAATGAAGTCCGATATATTGATGTTACCAACTTGCTTTCCTCCTCCTTAACATTGGTAAGTAAACTTAGAAATATATATATATGGTATTGCTATGGCGTGCATCCCCCATCTCAACAGTTATTAAAATGCTTAGATATTAATTTACACTCAGTTTAAATTCAGTATAAATTCAAGCAACTCCCCCTGTAGCTCTTCTAGAGTTACTGCTAGTCCCAAGCCCGGGTAAAGGAGGAGAGTTGGGTATGGGGTTAGCGACTCCATCTCGTAGAAAACTAACTCGCTAAAAAAACGCTAACCAGAAAAAATGACGCAATAGACGCCCAACTTCGAGACCAATAGTCTGAATTCCATAAGGATCGGTCGTGCACAGACTAAATTGCGACACTACGGATCATCGTCGAACAATCAGTTGAGTGGAGCTCGTCACTATACATCAACTCCATTGATTATGAAGAGGCGTTTGACAGTGTAGATAGGAGTACATTATGGAGTTCCTGACAAGATTGCCAACACTATCCGGAACTCATACGACGGACTACAGTGCAAACTCATGCATGAAGGACAGCTGACAGATGCATTCCAAGTAAGGACCGGAGTCAGACAAGGCTGTCTACTCTCCCCCCTTTCTCTTTCTTCTCGTGGTCGACAGGATTATGAAGACCTCGACATCGGAGGGAAAACACGGAATACAATGGACAGCTCAGAACCAACTAGATGATTTAGACTTCGCAGATGACCTAGCCCTCCTATCCCATACACACGAACAAATGCAGATAAAGACAGCCAGTGTAGCAGCAGTCTCTTCATCAGTAGACCTCAACATACACAAGGGGAAAATCAAGGTCCTTAAATACAACACAGAGAACACCAACCCAATCAGATTTGATGGCGAAACTCTGGAAGATGTAGAATCCTTCACATACCTGGGAAGCATCATCGATGTACAAGGTGGTCCAGATGCAGACGTGAAGGTGAGGACTGACAAAGCAATTGCCTCGTTCCTGCAATTAAAGAACATATGGAACTCAAAACAACTTTCAACTAATATCAGAGTGAGAACCTTCAATACGAACGTTAAGATAGTTCTACTGTACGGAGCTGAAACATGGAGAACTACCACAACCATCATCAAGAAGGTACAAACATTTATAAATAGTTGTCTACGCAAGATACTCAACATCCATTGGCCCGATACCATCAGCAATAGCCTAATGTGGGAGGGAACAAACCAGCTTCCAGCTGAAGAGGAAATCAGGAGACGATGGAAGAGGATAGGAAATACATTACGGAAATCATCAAACTGCATCACAGGGCAAGCTCTAACTTGGAATCCTGAAGGGAAGCGGAAGAGAGGAAGGCCAAAGAACACATTAGGTCGGGAAACAGAAGCAGATATGAAAAGCATGAGTAACAAGTGAAAAGAGCTGGAAAGGATTGCTCAGGACAGGGTTGGGTGGAGTGCTGGTGAGTGGCCTATGCTCCTTCACGAGGGGTAACAGGCGTAAGTAAGTAATAAATTCAAACATAACTCTTGAACATTCTGCAAATTGATTATCGAGAAATACCCCTTTAAGAAAGTGTAATATATGCTTGGATGACAATCAGCTGTTCGTTTAATATAGTCATCTGATGGTTATCAGCGAACAAAGACTTAAAGGAAATTAACCAGAATGTTTGCCATACACTAAACAGCTTCATATCATTATCTTCATTCTCAGTTCTGAATCTTGTACGATCCCACTATCAATAATGACGAGCCTACTATCATAATAAGTGTTATCTTAATTAAGACTATGTCCTATCAGTTCAAACGGTAAAAAAAAAGGGGATAGGGTTACCCGCAGCGGTTTTAATGATCAGTAACTGAGTTCTATTCAGTACTATTAGCCATTTATTCATTCATTTATTGAATGATTTTTGCACTTTAGAATGCAACTTTTACTAGAAATAACGTTTCTAATCATAACTTTCATCATATTTACATTTTTCATCCGGTATGTTTGGAAACACCACATTAACATTTCCATACCAGACAGTTACGGATAACTCCACACTCTTGAAATGAAATTCCTAATGAAAATCACATACCAATATACAGTATTTATTCACTAAATAAATGGAAGATGTTCGAAAGTGTTGGATGACAACTTTGTACTAATCTTTCAATTTATTACTCTAGGTACTAATTTTGATAAATAATTAATAATGTACTTATTTTCAATAATTGTCTAATAATTATTCGTTTTATTTCTAATATACAAACATTAGCAAAACACTTTGTATATTTTGTACTTTCTTACTGTTAGTTTACTACACCTTAATTAGAAGTTTCACTTAAATTTATTTGTTGAATCGTCTACTCGATCATTGAAAAAAACTGACGTTTTGATTGGTCTCGTTTTTTTGTGTGTGTGGAATTACATTTTTGATGACATCTTAATGATGGATACCAACCAAAGCTTTCCAAACAATTTCTTACAACCACTTGAAAATCATAATCAATTTAAACAGAATATTCTCATAAGTATAAATGTATGATAAACTAATGTTATTGCTATCAACCATTCAACTTTACTTGAATCCTTAGTCACGAAACATGATAATGATTGTGGTTTTGAAATGTTTTATGTATGGATTTCGATTAGCACAAAGTTCTAGAGCTTAGCTCCGGTCACTAACTGGTAGTTG